AATAAACAAGCTTTCACTACAACTCCGGCACTCCAGGATGTAACATGTTTACAAAAGTTCGGGAAGAGGAAGGCAGCTGCTACAGTTACAGTTCTGCTTTGAAACACTCGGTAAGTTCGGCAAGCTACCAATTAATCAATTCCTCGATGTCGTCTTCCATATTTTCTTGCTGCGGTTCATGGCGAGACTGAGTGGCAGTAGTAACTTCGACTCTCGGCTCCTCTTGCCTGTAAGCAGAATCGAAGCATTCGTAACCTCCTGAGAGAATGCATTTCTCCACGTAATAGTATACAGGAATCGCGAACTTATTTTTGCTTCGTTCGCTACAGGGGTGGCTTAATTTGCGCAAACTAATATCGCTGAAACGGAACTCTTCAAACGCAATAAGCAGTGAAAAAGAAGAAGCGGGAAACGGGACCTGCTTCGTTTTCCTTCAATAATTTGACGAGAGATTTCGAAATACTGATTGGGATGCGTTATCACCGTACCCAGTGAATTTTCGGCCATTCGATGCGTATATTCGAGATAACGTGTACACGCCTTATCATACTGCGCACTTTTCGATAATGAAATTATCTAAAACTAATAATAAATAAGCGAATGGGTTAAAAAATATCTCCCGCCAGCGTCTTCAGTACCTCAAATTCGGTCGCGAGCCATTACAACAACGAAACCATAGTTAAAACAAATACCTATATTCATGGCATATGCATAGTAAAACTGTTTACGGTACTTTTACAACTGTACCTGGACAGTGTAGTAAAAGTACCATGCACTGTGTATAATTTTACAAACAATGCAGAAATTAAAAGCTAGCCGTAAAAGCTGAAGATGACAGCGTTTGAGATGGCCGGAAGGTAAAATCATCAAAAATTTGCAGCTTATCACTTATTTCTGACAAACGATAACAGCTATGAAAGAATCTTACTGTTTCTTTCTTAGCTATTACTATTCTGAAACAGTCATAGCTCGTGCGTTGAAAACCATGCATACCCTGAGGCAGAATTTTGAAATCTTTAAGTTGTACGTGAACGGAGAACATTCCCTTAAAATTTCAGCCTCACAGCTTTTCTAGCTCCGAGTTGGCAATTTTTCGGCCAAAGTTATCACGTGTTGCGTACAAAATCACGTTTCGATGTAGCACTTGACCATGACAGAATTTCGGCACCAAAGCTTGTCTGGTTGCCGAGTAGAAATACTCGGACAGATGAACACACACCCATACACCCACACACACTCACACATACATACACACAAACACAGACATAGAGTTGTCACAAT